CGGGCAGCTCCTCGGAGGGCCGGCCGGGTAGGGGACCTCCGAGCCCTCCGAGCACGCGCGCCCCCCCTCTCTCGCGCAGCCCCTCCGGGCGGGGGGCGCGCCGCCGAGCGCGGGCGATTTGGGGGTTGGCGCGATCCTCCTCCCCTGGATCCTTGTCCCCCCTTCGCGCTGTCCCCGGAAGCAGAGCGAGCGGCACCGCGCAGTAGAATAATAATATTATTAATAATAAGGATCATAAGAATACTACCAATAATAATAATAATAATAATAATAAATAAAAATAATATTAATACTACTAATAATAATAATCATCACAATAATAATAATAATAACAATAATAATAATAATCATAATAAGAATAATTATGATAATAATAATAATATGAATAAAAATAGTAATAATAACAATGATACTAATAAGAATAGTAATAAGGATAGTCATAATAATACTAAGAATGATAAGAATTATAATGATAAGACTAAACATACGAATACATAATACTAACAATAATAAAAAGACAAACAGTAATAATACTAAGAAAAAGAAGAAGAGGCGGAGAGAGGAGGAGGAGAAGGAGGAGAAGGAGGAGGAGGAGGAGGAGAAGCAGGAGTAGGGGGGGGAGGTGGAGGGGGAGGGGGAGGGGAGGAGGAGGAGGAGGAGGAGGAGGAGGAGGAGGAGGAGGAGGAGGAGGAGAGGAGGAGGAGGAGGAGGAGGGAGGAGGAGGAGGAGGAGGAGGAGGAGGAGGAGGAGGAGGAGGAGGGGGGAGGGGGGAGGAGGAGGAGGAGCAGGAGGGTGAGGAGGGTGAGGAGGAGGAGGAGGAGGAGGAGGAGGAGGAAGAGAAGGAGGAAGAGGAGGAGAAAGAGCGCCACAAACACAATCTTTTGGCGCTCCGCGCGGATTTATCGGATCTGCGCCGGACCCCCCTCCTCATACAAACTTCCAGAGAGGCCCGCACAGGTCTCTCGGGGTCGGCCACAGGGGCGGGCAAGCCTCAGACGCATCCCCCTGGGAGCCTCGTCGAGTGCGTGGACGATCGGCGCCCCTGGACGCACGCAGCACTTCCCCCTACAGCGGAGGCCAGTCCACAAGAAACCTTCCACGAGAAATCCAAGCCTGAGACCCCAGGAAGTCCATGGATTTTTTGGCGTGGGAACGTGACGCTTTCCATAGCAGAACCAGCTCAACCCAAGAAACCCAGGGCACCCTGAAGGCAAGCAGGGTGTTACTTGGCATGGGTCTCCATTGTACGTGGATGGTCGTCGCCCCTGGATGCATGCAGTGCTCCCCCCTGGTTATCTGCCCCTGTTGCGGCCGCGCCACAAACTTGAAATCTTGGCGTTCCGTGCGGGCTTCTTGCCTCTGGCGCCGCCCCCTGGCGCGCTCCGCGCGCCAGGGAGGGGGCCCAAGCGCAAATCCAAGAAATCCGCGCGGACCTCCAAAGTTTATGTTCATGCAAGTGTTCCTCCTCCCCCTTTTTCTCCTCCTCCCCTCCTCCTCCTCCTCCTCCTCCTCCTTCCGCCCCTGGCGCTCCGCGCCCCAAGAGGGAAGGGGGCTACAGCGCCGACCCGAGAGATCCACGCGGACCTCCGATAAGTCTGTGCCGATGCTCTTTTTCCCGCCCTTCGCCCCCGGAGGCCTGGCTGCGCTCATCGGCCCGTCGAGGAGGCTCCTGTTCGGTCACCAGCGTGCGACGAGCAGCCCAGACCACCTGGCGTCGTGGAGAGATCACGCCAGGAACTGGGTCTGATTACCAGGGTGTGGAGCCCCTGGGGACCCAAACCATGCCCCAGGGCTGTCAAGCAACTGCTCCGGTTGCTGCTGGCAGCAAACAGTCCCGGGGAAGGGGGCGAGAACTCTGGGAGTTCACGTCGCGAAAGCATCACGACGTCAGGGGTCTGGGAGGAAGGGATGCCCCTGCCAGCTGGGGGCGCGACGCCTGTCCACCGTCCGTCCAGCAGTCACCTCAGTCTGCACCCGCCGTCCAGACGATCACCGCTGCGCCGTCTGCATCCGGTAGAGAACTCCCCTCGGCCTCGCTGCCGGCCGCAGTCCTGGCGCCGGCCAGGTCTGGATCGACCAACGCGGGAGGGCAGCCTCAAGGCTTGCCGCCCATCCTTCCGGATCTGGCATCACGGTAGGCCCTGTGTGGCTCGAGCCCGTCGGCTGCGGCTGAGAACCAGTACGTGGCTGCCCCCCCCCCAAGCAGGCCTCCAGGCAACCGAGTGTTCATCGGGACGTGCATTCCTGATCGCATGCAGCGCCTAATGCGAAATACATGTGGTGTCGCACGTGCTGCTCCCAGCGGACAGCGTATTCAGTAGACGTGGGCATGTGGGAATGTGAACAATGGATCAGTCAAGAACTGTCTTCGCTGACTCTCTGAGGTCAGACGTGGACCCAAGGCCAGCGGCCTGAGTTTGACCTCTTCATGAACCCACCGAAACGTTCAATCCATTGCGCGTTTTCGCTTCTAGGGGGTGTCGCGGCGCGCCGACGCAAGACGAGGCTGTAAACGGAAACGGCCGGCCGAGAATGCAGCGCCTGCTGGTGAGCAGGGAGGCCTCCAGGATCCCCCCCCCCGAACCGACGAACTGCCCGGGCGACGGCGACACACGGCAGAGGCTGACCTATTTCCCTCCAGGAGAAGATGCCTCCAGGTCAGCAGGTTGAGCGCGTGCAGTGAGTACGACTCCTTGGCCATCTCCCGCGCACGCACTGCTTGTGCGCCAGAGACCTTCCGCAGGAAACCCGAGCCCGAGAACCCCGGGACGCCCCTTGACTTTTTTTGCTGCGGGAACGCCACGCGATCCGTCGCAGAACCATCGGAACCCAAGAAACCCAGGGCACCCTGGCATGGCGAGCAGGGCACTCAAGAACCATAACCCAAGAGGCGAGCAGGGCGCTTCTTGGCATGGGCCCCCGCTGTAAGACCGCCGCAGCCCTCCTCCGCCGCGGGCGCGGCGCGCTCCCTGGCTTCCCGAGAGGGCCCCCAGACGGCCTCCGAGAGCCCCACGACGGCCCGAGGTACTTCATCCCAAGAGTGTCCAAAGAGACTCCCCACACGGCCTTTCACATGCCCTCAACGGCCCAGGGGCGCCCCCAGACGGCACAAGATGGCCCAGGAGGTCCCCCAGAAGACCGACGGGGGCCCCCAACGAGCCCCAATGCAGCCCCACGGCTCCTCAAGAGGCCTCTCCAAGAATTGTTTTGAACAAATCTCGGAACCGTCTTGGAGCCATTCCACTCTGGAGTGCAGTGCGGGCGCGGCCGCAAGAGACCCTAGCAACAAAATCCCGACCCTGCATAGTCGCGCGCGAGGTGCACCGGAGGGGAAGCCCAGATCACCCTGAACGCAGCAGCGCCTTTAACGGCTGCGGAGAGTCACCGCGCAGCGCGGGGAGCAAGAAATCCCAGCATACCATGACAACAAGCATATGGTGTCTTGATGCGCGCCCACACTGTAACAGCTGAACCGCTGGATTCTGGGGAACCAGAATTCAACCACGGTCCACATTCGCATCGCTAGATCGGATATCTACCAGCAGCGCCTTCCGTTTCCACACGCCCAAGGGGCGGCGGTGACTCGCCGTACAGCGGCGCCCTCGATATCCGTATGAATTTCTCGAGACCTGCCCATGAACCGTCTCTAACTTGAGACTGTGTCCATGTCTGCCTGTCTGCCTTTCTCTTTCTCTTGTTTAATTCTCTCTCTCTCTCTCTCTCTCTCCCTCTTCCTTTATCTCTCTCTCTCTCTCGCGCGCGCGGGATTGTTCTCATTACCGATCGTTCTCTCCTCTCTCTCTCTCTCTCACTCTCGCTTTCTCTTTCTCTCTCTCTGATTCTCTTCTTTCTCTCACTCTGTCTCTCTCTCTCTCTCGTTTTTCGTTTCCTCTCGTCTCTCTCCACTTGCGGTTGCATCCTGTATGGGGGGGGAGGGCGAGAAAAAGCATGAGAGACAGATTTTGCAGATGTGGACGTCCACCACGCGTCACAGGGCCAATGCGCCTCTGCAGCAACACTGAGTTCCAAATGCAATGTCCTGGCTGAGCATGCCACGCTGGCCAGCGATGCCAGGGCACGTGCAACGAACATGAAAATACGGAGACTCGTTGCAATCATATTGCCGCCCATGAGGATACCACAACAATCATGGCGGTGACGCAAACCACGAATTGTGTCTAGGCAGCGAGGCCAACGAGGGAGAAGAGCGGGAGACGCGCGGCGCTGGGGACAGAACGAAGATCCCACTCCACAGCGGGGCTGATAGTGAGCATGAGAAGGCCACATGGCAAACCAGAAACCACAGGCACATGGACATGCCACCAGGAGTCGACACAGTAGCTGCAGACACAAGCATGGAACTATAAGTATGATCGTGCACGGCGACAGAACCGCCCCATGTAAGGCAACGGAGCTGAACTCCGTTCGTGTAGCCGTAACACGAGCAGCAACGCCAAACGCAAAGACAAAATCAACAGTTAAAGGCTGAAGCAGTGACAACGGCAAGTGAGCAGATCAGGCTGCAGCCCCCCCCCTACTGCAAAGCTCAACATCGACGACTCCTAAGCTGAACGCTATGGTATGGGCTCCGACGCGAGTCTGGGTGCGATCGGCCCCGACGCGAGTCCGAAACCTGCAGCCCTGCCTATCTGAGAGACTCCCCTTTAAATACCCCCCGGCCTGCCAGCCGCAGCCCCTGACCCAGACTGGGGGGGAGAACGAACCTCTGCCGGCCTTTCCCAGCCGCCTTCGCCCGGCCGCCTTCGCGGGCGGGCGCGCGCGGGGCGGCAGCGCTGCAGCGCAGAGAGGGGACAAGAAGAAAGGGGAAGGAGGAGGGAGATGACGAGGACGAAGGGGGAAACGACCGCCGCGCACAGCGCGCGGCAAGATCGAACGGGGCGAAGACGCGGCCGCGGGGCGTGAGCCACCACACCTCTCTCTCTCTCTTTATCTCTCTCGCTCTCTCTCTCTCTCTCTCTTTCTCATTCCACCTCAGGGCTCTAGCAGCCAACGGCGTGATCAAACGGGTCCGCGTTCGCCCAGGCAGCACACCAGTCGCCGACGACCTGGCGAAACTGCGCAGGCCTCTGCGCCTTCGCCTGCGCGAACTCCACGGCGTCCGCTGCCAGGTCTCCGCTGGTGTCGAGCGCGTTGACGAGGCTGAGGAAGGTGGCGAAAAAACCTTGATGCCAACCCTCGGGCTCGCCGTGCTGCTTGTAGACATAATTGCCCGGGCCGCCAAGCATGCCCCTCTCCCGGTCGACGAAGCACGACGGGCCGCTCGAGTCCAGCGCGGCCAGGAAGATGCCGTTGAATACCTCCATGAAGAGGCTGTGCTCCTTCTGCGCGGCGTGGAACGAGAAGAACCCAAGGTCCTCCAGGCCCCTCACGCCTCACAGGCGGCGAACCCATATACACACCCGCGCCTCCGCGACCCGGAAGCCGTGGATACGCGATCCTGTGGATAGCACGCGGTCGCAAGGATACGTCCCCCGCGGGGGGGCCTTTATTCTTCACAAACAACGGCCCGCGCCCACGGGGTCCGCGGCTGCGGACGTGGACATGTTTCCCGCCCCGCGAGCGCCCTCGGCCGTGGCCGCGAACGACTGGTGCATGGCGGACGGCGCGTTCACCCGCCCGCAGACCCGGCCTTCGGACTGCCGCCAGGCAGGGAACTCGCGCCTGAGGCGCTGGAACTCCTGCGCTGCCAGGGCGCCGGGTCGGAGGAGAGGCCATCGTCGAGGCAACGGCGTGCGCCCCCCCCCTGGCGGGCCTCGAGAGGATACGCCACCACCACGTCGCTTCCTACTCCCTCCTCTACAGTGGGGGCCGGCCCACAAGAGACCTTCCACGAGAAGAAGACCCAATCCTGATACCCCAGGGCGTCCATTGATTTTTGGTGTGGGAGCGCCACGCTTTCCATCGCAAAGCCATCGAAACCCACGAAGCCCAAGGGCACCCTGGAGGCCAGCAGGGTGTTTCTTGGCACAGGCCCCCAACGATACCCTCCTCTTCCTCTCCTCTGCCCTGGGAGAGGGAGGGGGTGAGGGAGGTGGTGGTGGTGGTGCAAATGTTTGGGCCCCGAAGCCCGGGGCGTTGCTCGCTCTCTTCGGGCCCTCCCGTTGCCACGGCTGGGTCGGCCCCAAAAAGTAGGGTCGGACGAACACGGTTGGTTCACACAGGCCGGGTTAGCGATTCAGCTCGTGCAGCTGATGTTAGGTCGGGCGTGCCCTCCTACAGGCGGATCTTGGAAGAACGATGGAACACAGCCAGAGAGTGCTCAAGCATAGTCAGAACAGCGCCCCCCGACTATTTGTTTGACCATGTTTGAATATTCCTCCTGTAAAGGGACATGTTCGACTTAAAATTCTGGTTAGGTCGGGCGTGTCCTCCTACAGGCGGCTTGTGGGGGAAAAATGAAAATCCGCCGACCGTGTCGGCGTGTGGGACAAATGTCTGGTTCCGTCGACGGGATGCCTTTTCTGTTGATCCTTCCCCGTCGGGGGTGAGAGAGAGCACTCTCCCGTCGTCGGGAGTCTGGGGATTGAGGGAAATGTCGTAGCCACGTCAAAGGGAAGCCCCTTCCCTTTGTCCCTTCCCCAGCGGGGGGGGGGTCCTGGGGGGGGACCAAATTCGCATCCCCCGTTTGCGGCTTTTACAGAGGTGCCCTTTGTAGATGTGCTGGAGGAGGGGGGATCGCCACGACGGATCCGCAAAAGCACCCCTAGACGGCCCAATCCCTACAACACAGCCCAAGAAAGCCGATGGACGGCAAAAAGGGGCCCCCAGACGGCCAAAGGACGCCGCCCGGATACGTTTCCCTCTCGAGCGCCCCCGAAAACATGAAAAGCTGCTTCCAAAAGATCCCAGAAGGCCAGAACGCCTCCTCCTCCTCCTCCTCCTCCTCCTCCTCCTCCTCCTCCTCCTCCTCCTCCTCCTCTCCCCCCCGTGCTCCCCCTTCTCCTGCGAGGTCATCGAGTGGCAGTTTCCCGACACGGCTTGGACAGGGTTCGTCGACGTCGACGCCCCGTCAGGATTGGTCGCGGATCTGCAGAGTTCGATCTCGGCGAAGCTGTGGCGGAAGGCCAGCGAGCACTTCTGCGGCGGCGGGGTCGAGCACGGCGTGGACATGATGTCGCTGCGCAGGCTTCACCAGCAGTTCGCCAGCATGCCGAGGGGCAACAGGATGGCGGAGGTGCTCAGCATGGTGGCGTCGGGCGGCAGCTGGCCGAGGGATAGGCGTGTTGACGCGGCAGGGGCGAAGGCGCTCGGGCTATCACGTCTCTGCCCTCGGTGCAACGAGGAGCCCGAGTCCATGTTCCACCGCGGGTGGGCGTGCTGCAAGAACGTCGGCTCTCCCGCCTACGATCGGTCGCAGGACTTGGTGGCGCAGGCCTACAGCAGACACGAGAGCGAGGAGTGCTACTGGCTGCGGGGGCTGATCCCAGCAGCCTGGACTGCGGTGAGTCCCCCGCAGACGGCCGAGGAATGGTTCGCGGCAGGCACGGCAGCGACCGACGACGACTGCTTGACGTTCGGGGTCGGCTCGGCCCAGCAGCCTCTATGGCTATTCGGCGACGCCAGCGGCGGCGCCGACTCGGCCGACAGCCGTTTCAGGCGCGTCGGGCTGGCGGTCATCAGCATCAAGAGCTTTGACCCGCTGGGCATCGACGGCATGGTGATGGGGGGACTCCCAGGGGTGCGACAGAGTGTGCCCCGCGGAGAGCTGCTCGCCCTGCTCACGGCACTCAGGATGTCGAGAGGAGTTGTCAACTACGTCACGGACAACAGCGGCGTGGCGGACGGCTGGTACGCGAGGAAGTACGTGTGGCCCGTCGGCGACGACGCGGATTTGTGGCATCAGGTCGGCCAGGCCCTCACTGGGCGGGATCCAGCGGAGTTCACGGTCCTCTTCGTGAACTCGCACCTGTCCCCGCTGCAGGTTGCCCAGAGAGCTGCGCCGTGGCGGCTTGCAGTCGGCAACGCGGCGGTGGACGAGCTCGCTGGGCTGGCGGCCAGTCGTGTGCGCTTGGATGAAACCGAGCGCTATCGTGTGCACAAAATTGAAAAAGAGGCACATCAGATTCGTGTCAGGCTCGTTCGGGCCACGATTGATTCACTGGATGCTGAGCATGAGCTGGCGAAGGCCGGCGGTCCGAGGAGGAAAAAAGAGGCTGCGTGTGAACCACCGACGCCTCCAGCCCCTTCTGTGTGCCGCCAGTTTGCAACCAGTCACGTCCTTGACGATTCGGGCAAGCGTTGTAGAATATGCTGTAGCTCCGCTACCCAGGCCGCCAAGTCCGAATGGATTTTATCCCCTTGTTTTAAACCTCTTCCTGTGGACGGTAGGTTCTCTGCGTTGCCGTCGGGGGTTGTTTTACATGTTGGGGGGGGCTGGGTACATCGTAGTCATACAATGCGTTTGCATCAATCCTTGGGCCTCTGGTTTTGCTCGCGATGCGGGTATTATGCCAGTAGTGTCATCAGGTGTCTGGGTCAGGAATGTCCCAGGCGAACGAATGCGAATCGAGCTGAGTATTTAAATCGGATCGAAACCGATCGATGGCCGAAGGCTTTAAGCAAGGCCGAGAAGCTCACTCGTAAGCGCTCGTAGGCTCGTTTCGACTCGCATCGCGACTGTTCTCACTCACTCACTCCTCATCATCCTTCCCCTTCTCCTCCTCCCTCATCTGCCTCCTCCACCCTTCCTCTTCCCCCCAACCATCCTCTTTCTCCGCCTTCTACCCTCCCCCTCTCGTTTTCATCTCCGTTGTCTCCAGGATCGGCGGCACCAGCCGCAAGGCCTTCGCCATACTAGAAAAATGCGAAAAAATGTGAGAATGTGGTTCACGAAGACGTCAACATATTACTTTTTGACCACTCTTGACTACTCCTCCTGTCGAGGGACATGCCCACTTCAAAGCAGGCTCGGACGAACAAGCATGGTTCACACAGGGCGGGTTTTAGCGAACCAGCTCGCGCAGCCAAGCTCCCCGGGCGCCTCCCAGCGCCGACGCGTCGAGGAAGCGCCCGGCGGCAGGGCCGAAACCAGGGGCAGGCAGTGGATTTCGCAACCTCGTCCGACCCAGCGCGACTGGCTCCGCGTCGAAAAACGGTCCAGGATGGAACCTGGAAGGAGCGCTTCTCTTTATTTTCGGCGATGCTGGGCATTACGGGGGGAGAGAGGGCCGGGGGGGGGGTACAATGTGGCGCCTCCCCCCCGCCGTGTGCCCGATGCGCACGGCGGCAGTGCCTGGAGCGCACCGGATTGGGAGGGGCGTTGCGTTATAGGGGGGGGAGGGGGGGCCAGGGGGCTACAATGCCCATTATGCCCCAAACAATAAAGCAACACGCTCAAGGGGTCGGTGGGGACCCGATTTGGGCCAAACTTGGGCCGGGCTGGGGAGCCGCCGTGGTATCAACCGGCCCTCCTCCGAGCTGGTGTAGTTGGCGTCCAGGCTAGGGCCAACGTCCTGGCGGAATGCCCAGTAGGTGGCCGCGTCCGACTCGGGCAGATTACATGGCACCCTGATGGGGTCCGGGTGCACGTACGGGAACCAGGATGTCACCTTGCAGGGAAGCGAACCCAGAGGAAGCGGCTTCAACAACACCATGGTCGCATGCAAGAACACCCAGCCTTGCACGTCCCACCCGTTTTGTCGGGCAGCTTGTAACGCTGCTCGGTACCCGCCGATCTCGAACCCGGAAGGTGCTTCCCGTACGTATAATACGCTGGGATCCCTTCCTAACAAATCAAGCATTCGGGCACTCAGCTGCAACGGGGACGCGTTGTCGACAACGACGATCGAACTCGATGGATGATGATGGCGAATGCTGTTGTAGGCCTGCTC